ATTTTTACTAATCGTTATAATTAATCCGCTGCGTCAGCCTGGCAGCATTTTCTCTAATGCTTTTTAACAACGACAATATGTATTCTTTCTCGTCAGATGAATGGGCAAACAATTCCCTAAAAGACGACCAGGTCAAAATACCGAAATAGCTACTCTTGAAAAATTGAGTTATAACTGGACTACTTCTGTCTGTATCTATTCACAATAGTCCATAGCAAATAATGGCCCGGTAAAAAAAAAAGTTATAAAACTAGTGACCACTTAAGGTTTAACCGCGTGCTTCTAAAGACGCTATTTGGTCAAAGAAAACCGGCAATTGAACACCTTTCCTGAGGTCAAACGTTAAGCGGAAGTATGAAATGGCATTTTATTACTTTGGCGACCGAAAGAGATATAAACAACAAAATTAAGTAAGCAAAGCTCGACCGTTGCCTGTATGGCTTGAGCCTATCAATACGCTAGAAAAAAAGATGACTAGAGAAACTATGCCATGTGTCATTATTGATGCTGATAACAAACGAATTGGATAGAAGCAAATGACGTGTGCTATACGTTATTCTAATCCCCCCACATTTCATAAAGAATTTCTAAAATTATCTAACGACAGACAGCGTTCAGTCGTAGCATCAAGATGTTTTCCTATTAAATCTACACGTAGGAGGCATTTTTTCACAATAATAATGCATGATCACGCGCGCTACTGTGTCACACCAAGCAAATTCTAGCTGAAATTATGGAAAATTAAATAACTAGGGTTTATCTCCAAACCCATTTTGTAGCTCTCTTACAGCAACTCTGTAAAATGTTTGTGCATGGAGGAACTGATCGTTTCGCGTTAACGTGCCTTTCAATTTAGGCACAGTCGAAGAGAGTCTTTATTGGTTCGGGTCGTCGTGAATGCAGAGCACAAGTCGGGATAACCAACCAAGTCCATCTTCTTGGATAATCATCAAACTATTCAAGTTCGAGCAGTTCAAGTTTGCTCTTTTGGAAAATGTTCGACGTTTTAGTGAGTACTGATGTGTGGGTTGACCCTACTGCACCCTCGATGGGTGCTTCTTACAATGTTAGGATTTCCAAGTTAGCTTTGGGATGTCTGGAAGCCGCTGCCTTGTCTTGGCAAAACACCAATGCAAGCAGGGGGATGCTGTTGACTTTTTGTACACGACAACCGATGGTCGGTGCTATTGATGTCGGTTGCAGTTAAGATCGTAGCGATAAATCAATTAGTCTGCATAGCTACCCCATTGCGCTTACTTTCTGTGTTGCGCACATTTTCCAACGCGTGCAAGCAGGTAGCGCGCTGCTCTTGCTGAGTCTCGGTGGCCACTTCATTTTGGCGTGATAGCATCGGGAAGAATACGACGCTGCTGTATACATGCTGTCGTTGTATGAAGACCTGTACACCATCAGATGTCAGCGGATGATGCCTTCAGTGCGCCATTGCTTCTATATATTTTCGATATTCGACACTGAAACGGATCGACCCCTATTTGAGCTGTATCGTGCACACACTTACGAGTTCTTATTGCTGGACATTTATACTACCTCTATTTCTAACACTTAACTGTGTGCCATATAATGCTGTTTAGCTGAGTTATCTGGCTCGTAGTTATATAAGACAGGTTTTATTAATCAATTTTACTAAGAGCCACAGAGCACCAAGGAATTTAACATCGACTCAGTCCGCGCGTCTGTTCTACGAAAGCTAAGCCTAACGATGAGTTCCCACCACTTTCGCATTCGCTGGAACTGAATGTTGATTGCCCATAAAAGTAAAGCACGAGAGTGCTTGCGCTGTACAGCCAACCATAATAGCCAGACAGACCCTGTTTCATGATCAAAATTTATTTCATTCCTACTTAATAGCAAATCAGAGCTTATAAACTTATCTACACCATATATAGGATACCTCAAAGTATTAAACACCATAGATAAGCTAAGTTCAGATTTTATTTACGCACAATTTTATTTTAAATCATTAATTATTCGTATTAATACAAAATAATTTATTGTTGTAATAATAATAACAGTGAGGTATTAATTTGCAAACTAGATTATGGCTTTTGAGTTTTTCAGTGTTATCGCTTTTACGGCTTCAACTTGAATTTAACAAGAGATCCTCAAAGGGAAAAAAAGAGCCTTTCGGCGTCAGACTTATTGAACGGGCAGAATATTCTATCGAACTTACCTGTTTAGAAGATTCCGGTCAAAATACGCTCTTTCGTTACGATAATAGTGCACGGGTACTTCTGCTTCTTCCTATATATATATATATATATATATATATATATATATATACTGTTTGCGGTTCGTTCCTAATTATAGAACGACAGAAACATATGGTTACGTAAGCATCTGAAGATTAACCCCCGGAATGGCATTCAGAACAGGTAAAGCAAAGGACACCTTTTACCGAAAAGCCTCAGCTTGTTACTATGGAAAAGAATAAGACAGTGCAGCGCATAGCGGTTCAAGGATCGCATAATCTTCCAGGAAGTCTTGCAAGTTTTTCGTTGTATTGGTGTCATGCAAAAATGTTCGCCGTCATCTTCATGCCAGGCTGAAATTTCACCCTGTTTATTCGTGTAATAAGATCCACTATATTTGGTAGAGGTAAACGTTACTTGGAAAAGTCTATTTTTAGTGTGCAATTCGAATTTATCTTGAGCTATAGTCAAATGTGTAGCTTTATGCGAGTCAATGTAAAGCTATATACTAGTACCAAATGACCATGACCAATGGCTTTCATTTTTCTGAGCTTTCCGTATATGACCCTTGAATTTCGTTACGAACGTGCTGAAATAGAAAAAAAAATTACTCAATTTTTTTCGCACTAGGCTTTGTAGTATTTAGAAATGTCCCTAAGCTGTAAGCTTGAAACAGAGTATTCTGGGGCTTATGTCTAATTGAATTATTGTTTCTATTTATTGATAAAGTCGTCGATGGCCGTAGTAAAATAGCTACTCCAATTGAACTTTCACCAATATACCTTCTTATGCCAATTAATGTTGGCATCGCTGCGCGCTTGTCGTGCCTTAACTGTCACCATTCTAACAGGGAACAGTTGGCAGTTCTCGAAAGTCCCCAAATAAATTTCACAAAAATGGGCCGCTGTGACAGCCTTTCTTCGGTACCATCTAGCTACTGCCAACTATGTCTGTCACAGTTGAAAGCGATGCGATTAACAGTATGACAGCGCAAGCCGATTATATCTGCTGTAAAGTCGCTAGCGGTATCTGAGAAATGATCAGTCACATTGTGGCGGCAATTTTACACCATTTGCATCATTTTGGCTTTACTTAATTAAGAGGAGAAACTTCAAAATCTCACATAGATTCGCAGAAATTCGAAAAGTTCGTCTTTACACCAAACTAGATGCTTAACAGACTGAGTCGGCTTTATTACTTGTACTGCCATAATAAGGACGCATTTAAACCAAGGGTATCTATTAGTTTTGATCGCCTCAGTCGTGAGATGGCATAGTTTCGTACATTTTGAAAGCGAGAAAACGGCTTGTTTATTGTTGCGAATAAATTGATTGCCACACATACTTTTAGTAGAAAATTCATGGGAAAAAAGAATGTAAAACAGCAGGATAGTGCAATCGTTATCTCGAATGAGCGACAATCGAAGCGGCCGTTTTAAACTTCTTAAAATCTAATTAAAAAATGTTCTTTTAAACGATTCCCTGCCTCATCTACTCGACTGCAATAACCTAGCAGAGTTTTAGCTTTGATGTGAAACATTGTACTTACCCGATGCGCTCGTATGTTTTGCTTTGGATCTGGCTAGCAATCATCCTCATCTAACTTACTTGAAAGAACAAAGATCAGTATGTATGTGTACCATCAGAACGGAAGAAATTATATTCACAAAGCGAAGCTGGGAAAAACGGCGTGTATACGTAGTAATAATAATAGAAGAGCTTAATCGATCAACTGTATATACACAAACACAACAAAAGATAAAATATGAACAGAATTTGTATAGGGAGTTTTGGGAGTGTACCTTTATGATGAAAAGAAGAGTTTGAGAAAGAAACGTTATCCCGTTAAACGGGGTAGATTCGAGCACGAGATTATGAAGGTACAATATCTAGTCAAGCACCTCGTATGTACGGCCATATCATGAAATATTCGCCTGCGAGTACTGTCTCCGAAGCCCCTTGGCTATGCACACCTAATGAAAGCCTCAGAAGCTACCATCCGTTAAATTACACTTACATCAAAGGCACCACTGCAAATGGTGCTCAAAAATAGAATGCTTGATCAAAGAAGTTGCGATCATGTACCTAACTCGTACGTTCAAAGATTGTCTCATTTATTCTACAACATGTGTAGCTTACCAGTTCAACGATAAAAATTGTAGTTGTACTCTAATAATAATAATAATAGTAGCAACACTTGCTATCCTCTGCATTATAAATCACCTATAAAAATCCAATTTTATCCTATTATATTGCCCCAAAGAATAGGCGAATCTATATGTCAACCTATTGGCGCGCATTGATTGTGAAAGTGCTACGGCACTTTGAATATATTAGACGGTAGGCCATAATATGATTAGAAAAATGGAGAAAGCTCACACAGCATAGCAACTTTGGATACAATTGATCGATTCGGCTCCAAGGATTTTGTGAAAAGTCAATCTGACCAAGGGACATTGCCATCAATAGGCAGATACTTGCTCAAGTCCTTAAAAGGCCGTCTATACTGTAGGTATCTTAAATGACGAATTACAAATTTCAATAAGAATAGTATTATAGTAAGTAAGAACGTGTTGCATCTCTGAATTGTTCTGATGTGTTTCTGCCGAGACGAACGGCCTAAAGTCCAAACTTCAAGCGCTCGCCATGCAAGACCAGTCTCTTTAAACGCCATATCAAAGAAACACAATGACATTCAGCTCACTTTTCACTATATTTAAATGCATCACCACTTTAGTATATATATATATATATATATATATATATATATATATATATATATATATATATATATATCATATTTTCATACATATACATATACATACCATCATAATCGCGGCGCACAATATTTCTCATCACTCAATCAATAGTACACATAATGTTCAGATAATATCTAATAATCATGCCCTCTTTTTTCGTAGCAAATAATTACTATAATAATGATAATATCATCATCGTCAATAATACACATTCAGCTCAATCATCAGTCACTAATAAATGATGTTTGCTGTTCTTCACAGAGATAACCCAGCTTCAGGTCCGAAATATAGTTTCGATGAACTTCAATTATATATATATATACTTTCCGAGTTAGGGCTTCTCCGTATTTCAACTTCGAGAAACTCTAACCAAAAACAGTGGCGTATTAAAGTTCTAATCCGTTCCTAATCAATGTGGTTACTTATTACTTTCATCGATGCACTGAACGGATATGTTCGTTTTTCTACCTCCATGAATAATTGAATATGATTTTTGTGATAAGTTACAGCACAAATTTAGTCCGATTTATTTTCACTGTCATAATAGAATCAGCTTTTTGTAATCATTATCTCACGTGGATATTCTTAATTCATTTGCATATAATCTCTCTTTGTTGTGTGTGTGTGTATATATATATATATATATATATATATATATATATATATATAGATAGAAGTTAAGTATAAAATTTGTTACAAATGTAGAGAGAATGTTGCTATTACAGGCATCCACTGCTGAACGCCGTGTGCTTTATGTTTGCTCGTAGATGACACTGGAATATAGCATCCCATCCGCCATCTTTTTGACGTCTTAGTCAATGTTTTTGTTTAGAATTCGCGCTCTGCAACGGCTGACGATTCTGTTTCGGTGCAGATGAAAGCGCCGGAGTCAGAGTACTTAAATTTTCGCAACATAGCGCACAGAGACCGTACAACGGAGCATCATCGTCGGACCGCACGTCGCAGCGAGGCGCTGGTATTCATCAATGAGTTGGCCTGCGTTGCATGCTTAGCTTTGTTTTTAAGTTTGTGTTGTAATAATTCGTTTATTACTTGCATCGCTAGTTAAATTATTTAGTATTCACTTACATATATGTACCTATATTCATTCTTCATTGTTCAATAAGAATATTTCTGTTTCTGGTTTCAGGTTGTTGAGTGATGATTCAACGGAGATCGGGTCATTTCAGTCACTTATTCGTATTCGTTTTTTTGCAAGGCTTTTAAAAGGCGGGTATTTATGTTACGTTTGCTTGCCACAATATTACAATTTCACAATTTACTGACAATGGCTGAATAGCCCGTATTCTATTCAGCGTCTGGCTGTAACAACAGCCGTTGATGTACAGTTCCCTGGGATGCGGGCGCTCCCAGTCTTTTCGCAATACAAAGCATTTTTTTATTTAGCTCTTTTCATTTTTCGTTCTGTGGTATTAGCACTCACATTTACTACTCTTCACACTTTCGATGCTTGCCCTCTAACATTCATTTAATACCCTTCTATATTATCTATTAATTTCTACTGAACATTCCATTCATCTCAGCGTTCAGAGCCTGCCTCCTCTGCAGTGGCCCGACGAGGCCGGTAAAACGAGATCAGCATCTGTCGCTGGCCGGAGCGCGTCATGCGCACGGCTCTGGCCAGGGACTCAACTAGCGGCGTCTGCTGCGTTGACAGCGCCGCCGCTGGGCCGTCATCCGCCGCCAGTAAAGATGTCGACAGCGACGGTGATAAAGGCGTCAGCGACGGGGAGGACAACGACGACAACGACCAGCACAAGGACGACGACGACGATGACGAAGTCATCGAACGCGTGCAAGCTGTTCCTCCTCTGCCACCCCCGCCAGTTTCTTCAGCTCTTAGCCGTCGAGCAAAACTTCGTTTTGAGGTCATGCTGCCGAGAAACGGGGCGAGTGCAGCGGTGGCCGGATCCAGCTTGTATGCTGTAGGCGTAGCGGCCGCAGCCGCCATTCTCTGCAAGTTACTCATTGATTCTGATGGATTCGTAGGTTTAGATGACATAGACAATGACATGGGTGGTGGCAGTGAGCTGAATGAAGTCGACGTCACTGGCGAATGCTGTGGCGGCATTAGCAGTCGACCAGCTGCTGCGGCACTTGCAAGCGCAGCAGAAAACCCGGCAGTTCCAACAGAATCGTCGAATTGTGGTGGGCTTGCTGGTGCTGGATCCGAAGTGTCGAAACCGCTGTCTGGAGAAAATGCTTGTAAACTTCGATGACTACTCTGGCCTGGCAGGTTGTTTGTTACACATCTAGGTCCGAGAACTACAACTGGCTCGCTGTGGTTCCGGTTTATGGTATTTGTCGATGCCTCCCGACTTTGCGTCTGAGTTTGCACCGTGAGCTCACTCGTGAGTGCGATCTTTCTTCGACTGCTCCTTCGCGGGCAGTGGGTATTTGCTGAGCCAGTGGCACTGGACGATGAGGAGAGTGGGGTATTAATGTTGCTACACGCTGTAGTGGGGCGTTTACGGCCTGGATGATTCCGGGCTAAGGTTGCCCCTGCTACGGATGAGGACGATGAGGCTATGGAAGATAGATCGGAGGAGGCGGTTGCGGCGAAGGTTGAGCCTGCTGAATGAGCGGGCGAGTGATTGCTGTGATGGGTTAGGGTGCTAAAAGATGTCTGCTCCACTTCGGCAAGTTGAAGTAGACTCTCCTTAATCTGGTGCATGATACAGGCGTCGAAGAAGTCGTACTTACGACCAGCTGAAAAATATTTTCAATAGTAAATTGCTATGTTAGGCAACAGGAACTTATTTATTTTTATTAAGGATCAGACATATATGTACATATACATACACAAAGTAAAAAAATTTTAAAAAAACTATCAGTTTAAGCGCCTTCATCACTTATAGCACGTATGAATGTATCGACGTACCTTGCATTTTGCTATGCTGCCGTAATAGTCTTTTCCTCTTGGCGAGTTTAAGTAACTGATTTTGGCTTTTGAGCGAGGCTTCGTTTTTGAGTTTAGGATTTTTTTCAAAATGGGAATTTACATGTGCCTCCAAGAGCGCTTTCGTTGAGAATCTGAAATACGCAGAGAGAATAGATCAGCATCTGTAAAAATTATGTGACGTATCCTGGGTTCAGCCTTTACATCGCCCTCGTCAAAAAACTATCGGCAACGCTTCTGCGGTAACGTGTCGTATAATGTCGCAGTGTGCAGGAAGTCATAAACGGAAGCCAATTTCACCGTCCAGAGCTACGAGAAAGAACAGCGCCAAACCATTCTTTAACGGCTCCGTTGATGACAGCAATATGGCTTTTGCGAAACAAAGTCTTGAAGATCTTTTTTTCGTGAACTACCCAAAGAGTTGCGCCCTCCTTTAATCGAAGTTAATGGAATTCTAGATCAAACCACACCAGCTTGTAACTGTCATTATAACGTCGCTACAAAGAGCGAACAGCTCCTAATGTTCTCTTGCAGTTTCATCAAATTCCATTTATTACCATTCAAAATATAACGTATTAATAACGCTGTATGTTTGCACGGCGCCACATCCAGCACTTCCCCCGTACAGTGATTTAATGAAAACGAAAGACTAAGGTTTATTGACTCCTCACAGTCAAATTGCAGACGAAAGCCGCTAGACTTTGTCAACACTAACGGTAATTCCCGTCAAATTTGAGAAACCGCATGGCCGTAGTTCACGCTGGAAAAATTTAAATATTCTTTCAGGGCGATCGATGTTGTGCAGTATTTTGCTAGTTAGCTTTGAAGGAAATTTCACTGTCAAGTTAGTTTGGCGCAAAATCGAGTGAGGTAAATAAAGCTGTCTGGAAAATCAGCTTATTTATTTACCAATTGTGTTTTGAAGTGATCAACGTTCTGAAAATATTCGCTCGGCTCGGTTTTACCAGCTTCGCCTTACCCTACGTTAAAAAATACGTCATACTAAATAGCAAAGTCGACTTCATGCTGTTATCAAAACCTCTAACCCGTCCTTAAGTACATTTATGGAAAACAAACTACAATATTAAAGTATTATAGTGTGATCACAGGGGCATCTATACTATATTAGAGGGTTCTGTACCGATTTCGTGCTCCAAACACTAACCTTTGTGGGCATCCGTCGACGATACACTTAAGGGGTTTGCTTCGGGAATGTTTAACAACGTGCTGTTCAAGCCAATGCTTTAGCGTCGATGGGACATTAAATACCTGCAAAAAGGATGAGACCACTGTTCGTTGAAGTAACCTTAAATAATATTGGCCTGTATCGAAGACAAGAACGTCAAAGATGAACGCAAAATATGATACGCAAAAAAACACGTAAAATTAACCTTGAAAATGTTTTTAGGTAACTTTTTGCGGTCTTTCAAAATGACGAAGAAATTGCTTTGTCTAAAAAGACTCACTTTGCAGGCCTCCCAAAGGCAGACGAAAGGGCCTTTATCACCCTGTGCGGCTACATGTGCATCAGCGATATGGTCCGCCAGCTCAAAGTCCTTACGGGCTGAAAAGCCGCACTCCTTCCAGCGGCATGACAAAAGCGGCTTCGGATGAGGTGCAACGAACACTGGAGGAAAGGCTAGCTGGGGCTCAGCTGAAGGCTTCACAAGCGACGTCGGGCCTAAACGAGCCTGTAAGGGGCTCGGACGCGACGTCCCTTTGGCAGTGACTGTGAGTGCTGTGGGTTGCGCTGGCCCAGGCAATAATGCCTTTTCAATGATGTCCAATCCATTCTTCTTCATTTTGTTATTATTAGCAGTGGTATGATTCATATTAATATTATGTTTGCTGTTATTATCATTCATAGCAGTAATATTATTGTTGTTGTTATTATTGTTGAAGATATTGTTATTTTGGTTGATAATGTTTTTACTGTGGCTCCTCGTAATCGAGTAACCGCCATCACGACGAACGGCAGTAGAAGTAGCAATTGCAGAATTAGCAGTTGTCGTCGTAGAGGTGGCACATGACTTGGCAGTGACATGCACTTTGAGCGGGGGCTGGTGATCGACGATGCGATCACACGCTGCGGTTCCCGTAACGGTTGGGGAGGCCGTAGCAACTATCGAAATTGCTTCAGCCGTTATAGCTGTTGAGGTTAACACCGTCGTCGCAACGTTGACAGCTACCGGTGTTGCTAAGGTCGTTGCAGGTTTCGTCATCAGTGTCGTGGAAGCATCTGCGTCGAATAAAAGTGCGTTTTCTGACGGCATTGGTACCGTTTCAGTTCGGATTGTTCCTGTTCTCGTTGAGGATATCGTTGTTGATGTCGGCATGGTAGCTGTGCCTGCTGTTGTTGTGGCCGCTGTCGAAAGTCGCGCGACACTCAATGATCCTGTCGTTGACCCTGCTATAGCAGAGGCGAGCGTCGAGCTGAGGTCGAGCAGACGGGACGAACGTCTTCGTTGTGCTCTTTCAGTGATTGCTGCCTCGTCCGATGAATCGGGCGCCATCGTGGTGGCCGGAGATGAGGCACACTCGGACGATCGACTCGATTGACTGCTCGACTGGCTACTGCTACAGTGGCTCAGCTGCGAGCTGAGGGAGATGCGGGAATCGTCGTGAACAGAGGACACCCCCGAGTCAGTAGACACCGACCGACCAGACAATGGTCGCCTTGAGCGCCACGACTCGCATGGCACTTCGGGGCAGCTCTCGCAGTCTGCGCATCAGAGAAACAACAAAAGAGACCACAGTGCTAAAGCAGATACAAACAGCATCAATTCATTTTCAGGTTCAAGTTCGCTATTCTATTGTATATGCGTCTGTACAAGCTGTCAGTGGTTAATTGTCCCTAGGTGTCTGCTTACTGTACACGTCATATGTAAATAAATAAGTCCTCGTAAATACAATGATCGCATGGTCGGAAGTATTAAACGCACACAAAAGACTACTTTAAGCATCAAAGCCAGGTTTAGATTGAAGCTCACGTAAAAATATCAAAAGTGGCTGCCGTTTGAGGATTTTTACCTACTTCCCAACCCGAGCAAACCTTTGTTACGAACTACATATATATATATATATATCGAACTTTTTTTGGCATATGCACCGCTCACACAAAAATATTAGCACCTGGTTTAAGTAACCCATTCCTAAACCACACACGCAGTTGACCTTAACCAGAATCTACCTTAAAATCACTATTATTTCGTTAGCTCGGCGGACGCAGTTTTCGAAAGGAAAACGGGCTATCTTTTAGTTGTACGTACACTTTAGGCCACCTTCACTTACCATTACTATCCTCATCTAGGGACTCGTATTCCATAGAGACACGCGAGATCATTTCGTACAGCAGTCGAGCAACCTCCGATCGTAGACTTCTCGCCAGATCGGACGCATCTCCAATATCCTCTTCTTCTTCACTGGTCGTGTCTGGGGCGTAGGGACTGTCCACCATAGCTGCGTCCGAAACATTTTCACTGTCCCGACGAACCGACGAGTCTCGACTGGTTGTCTTGCCAGGGCTTGAAGCATCATCACTGAGGCTGCATTCATACACTTCAGTGTCGGCTCTGCTAAGCTCGAGGTTAGCGTCCTCGGTATCTTCGTCTGAGGCTTCAGAGGGTGCAGGCGGTCCATGTGGTTGTTCGATCAACCCCAAAGGCTGGGGCGAAACGTTTGTGCCCGAATCCGCTGACGATCCGACGGTCATCAACGGGCTCTTCTTCTGATCGATGAACTCCGAATTGGATGGTGGTGCTTTCATCTGGCTGTCTTGACTGGAAGGGGCAGGTGATGCGCAGAAGAGAAGCGGCGAACTAAGAATCCGCGAGATCAGGAGACGCCTCTGCATAGCTTCTTCCCCACACTGCAACGAACGTATGATAAGCACAACAACAAAAAGCAACGTGCGCAAAACATTAGCAGCAACATTAAAGACAAAGCACTGTAAAATACACTTTCGAGAATACTGCACCTATTCAAGTTTCGATCGAGATTTGAGCAGAATTATGCTGATATATTTGCATGTGCATATGGCATTTACTTGCCTTGGGTATTCGAAAGAGAAAAAGCAAATACGATAACTGAATTAAATACTGGACGCCGCTTCTCCATAAGCACTTTCACATGTGGCATCCATATTATTGCACCATTCTAGCATTTGTTGTCTCGTAGCCGATACGCCAAACCGCCTCAAAACGAATTCTCGCAACATGGCGCCAAATTGTTCAATTCCGCTTTTACCTACTTTAATCTATCCAGCAGAACAAACTTTCGCCAAATTCATTCTGGATAAATATATCTTCTTCTTGTAATTGTACGTACTAAAATTTATATATATATATATAAAAAAAATATATATAATGTAAATCGTGACAAAATTGGTCGTTGATTGTGAGCACTCAGCAAAAAAAAGCATCACTTATACTTGAATTCGCAATTTTAATGTAAATAATGTGTTTTTAACGACTGAAGCGTAGTTAATGGCAAGACTAGCGATGTCGACAGTACTCCAAGTATCAAAATGAACCATTACATTTTGTGCGGCCCGTCCTGGAGTTCAAAGAACTTAGAGGATTTACGGCTTTCGGGCACAGAGTACGGCTCCGTTGTCTAATTTCTTTTGACCAGAATTTCACCATTCACTTACTCCCATCTGATTCGTATTCTATCCTTAAGAACAAACCATGTCTTAGCTACGCATCTAACTAGCTGCTTTTTTTCCATCGCCAGTCTAGCTATAGCTCTGACCTTGAAGGTACGTCATACATGCAAAACAATCGATCCCGTAGTTTTCGAAAGCTAAAAAAAAAGAGTCTGCAATTTTCAGATCTGCGTAGTATTTAACACGGAGCACAAGTACAGCCTATGGGCATCGCTGTCGATGCCAGCTCACCGAATGCAGCTGATTGTTTATTATTACATTATAGTAGTGTCCTGTTATTCAGTGGCGAAATATAATGGCGCAACATTTTTTGAAGTGAATGAAATGACGGAGAGCTTTCTGCAGCGTTGAAACGTTGTCACATACGATGGAATTTAGTTCTACATCTCAAATTAACAACGTACAGCAGACGCAACACAAACGTGTTCGTGACGACCAACTGAACTCTCATTCATAGGTCTACGCGGTCATATGATCGTTCCAGGTTCGAATAATAGTAAAATCGTAACGTACGACTACAGACTAACATCTGCTACGCCACCTGGCCAGCGGATTACCTTGTAAGTCGCGTACTTTCCGTGTACGCAAACGAATACAATTGCAAAGTGAAACACACACTCGCAGCTGAAAGCTGCATTGACGCTATGTAACACTAATTTCCAAGCCGATGAGTTAAACAAAACCTAAAGCCAACTGATAGGAAGGTATACAAAACTAGTACAAATTTCAATTTGGGACCATGTTACCCTACAAATGCAGACAATATATCAACCTTCAATTCGCTAAACAACTACAGTGAGTCGTGTCTTGTCGGCTGCGACAGAAAGCATGAGATTTGGCAATAACTGGTTCGTACATTTTCTTTTCATTTCACAGTCAGTGCTAACTATTCTAAGTAGACTGCAACTATTAAGAACCATATGTAGCTCGGCTTGGCCAGTCGCTCTGTGGGACAGTTACTTCGTCATAAATGTTAATTGAATGCCTTTCGCTATAACATTAATGATCATCACGCGTGTCTTGTAAATACGCTTCCAGCACGTGACACCGTACAGCGCAGAGGCATAGACTAGCCCGGTCCGGTGCACGTGAATCAGTTGGGTTTTCGTAGGCCCCCTTCCCACAACCTGCACGTTTACACGCAGAGGAGACGGTGCTCCAATACAGACAGCATCGCAGCTTTTTTTTCTCAAAGATAAAACGAGCCTACACAAGGCATTAGAACGGCGTGTGGGAAGCCACGGCGCGACCAAGTTGGAATACATATACAGCCTGAATTAAATCATATCGTAATTTTACGTAACCCAAGTGTCGTGAAAATACCAACTTAATTTTTACAATATAGAACACAAAGATATGAATTCACTAAATGAAATTGTCTCCATTAGTTCTAAAACTTTCATCTGGCCAATCGGTAAATATTACCCGAAGCTAGAAACTTTCTGTCACCACCCTCATTTACTATGAGGATAAAGCGAAAACGCCGTACGTCATAACGTTAAACCGCCACACCTCTTCGCAGTGAGTACCGCTGCCTGTAACGATGCAAAATATGAAATAATGGCGATCATTTCAATGTCACTGTAACACCTGCGTCCTCAAAAGATAACCGCTGTTATGTAACGTCCTTTTCTAAGCGCGCGGACTGTGTAGCAAGGAACGTAGCTGACTTCTATGTATGTCAAGAACTCTTGTTTTAACATAGTTCTTTTGATGTTTTCTTTTGTTAGCAGTGAAAACATTTTTTGTACTAATATTTCATATTAGATATTCACTCTGTAACACAAGAAGAGCCAACATCGAAGAGAAATACTGCTAGGTGGTATACCAGGAGGAAGTTGATTTTTCTATAAATCACAGAAATGCCTCAATATAACTAGATTACTGAAACGCAATTGCACAGGGAGTTCGAATATCCTGCGCGTATCTTCTGCAAACACAGTCCAGGCCACTGCCACATAAGGTCCACAACGTCGACGACTGTCTTTCTGTTTGTTGATCAAAGGTTTCTGCCCCACCATATACAGGAAGAAAATTTAAACGAGCGCAACGTATTGCTAATAATGCACAATATGATATTTTGTTTACGACACTACACGAAAAAAAAATAGAGAAATGCTCGATTCAGGTTTGAAATTCACGTCTGCAGCGTAATACTTGACATCTCTTTCACGACAACGACTCACCGGTTTGCGTTCCGCTATGATTGTCTCTTTGTGAAATAGCGTATGCAGGTGATCATCAGTAGTAACTCACCACACCATTCTTTTTGACTCATTCACTCCTCTTGTGGATACTGGGCGGTAGTCGGATGCGTCCATCAACACGAACCGCAACAGACTACTGTTTACAAATGAAAGAGTAATTGGTGGCTATCCAGGCGTCATTAATAATGATCGAAAGGGTTGGTTGCGACGGGGAAATTTTGAAGAATAGATTTCGGCTGATGTTCCTAAGTTCAACGCTTGAACTCTCCACCCTAACCTGCTACCTAGTGACCTGACCGCGATAACTGCTGATACGGGTCCACCTGCAGGGACATCTGATGCGTGACCGCTGTGATCACAAGCACGGCGGCAACAGCAGCGGCAGCGACGGTGGCGGAAATAGACGAAGCAATGTATAAAAAGCAAAAAGAACGAAGTGAAAAAGACTGCGGCTAAGCGGCGGCGTGGTATTATCACCATCAGCATGATGCCACTTTGGTTACAGATAACTATGCGGCTTCGTTTTTACTGTTGATCGCTGGTCGAGATTGTTACAAGTACAAATGAGCTTGTTCAAGATAATTAAGCTTCACAAATGTGCGCAGTTCATGCAGAAGTAACATAGCCAGGCAAACGATGAGACCTCTAAAGTGAGAAATCTCATAAGAAAACAGTAGTCCGATTTTAAGGACACGTAGTCCCTTGTAAAAGTAAAAAACATAAGCTGGAACAAAGACTCCATAGATAAAAGGTCCGCTTTCTTTAGCTGTATCTGCGTCTAATTTAATTACGCAACATATGTGCACGCCTCGCAAAGTACATTAAGCATCAGAAGACCTAAAATAATGGGCGAAAGATAACTACGAAATCTATAGAGGAACAGAAATTGTCTACATAGAATTTAGCAAGATGCTTGTTAATTTAACATGGTCTTACTTACCTAGTTTATAGATCTTTATTTTGAGTATTAAGCTAAAAATATAATTAGTCCTGTATAAACTTGAAATATGACATGTTTAGTCTCTTAAAAGACTGCGACGCACTACGGTTATATAGATTATAGCATATTTTTTTACGCAGTATATGTAACGCGAGCCTATTGCACGAATGTGACTATGAACGTGCAACCCGGACATTTTGGCTGGGCCTACTGCTCAGAAGCTCACATGAGAGGGACATATAAAACCTTTTTCGTTCCATGCTTAAACAGTCGGCGTTGCAAGGTCGCACATATTCATCGCGAAGCATGACACCGACGTCGTTCTCGAGAATAGGTTCATTTTAGAGAGTTAGATGGGCTCCAAAAGAGAACGAATCTAAACGAAGAAAATACGTTTCGCAGGTGTCAGACGCATCACCCAGGTGCCAGACAGAGCGCTTAGTTTAACAATTCAACAAGTTACGTACCAGCGAATATTTCTACCGTTCATACTCTTCTAAATATTTTAACAGACTTTAGTCTACTTGATATATAGTAGAATAGTTTATCATGAACTTTCTTAGCAGTTACGTTGCGTGTTCGCTCTTTTAAACAGCGCTCTTCCCACACCCGTTCCTACATTTTAGCTACTAACAAGCCCACAAATTTTTCATGTCTCCGCTTTGATTAGACAAGCTAGGTCCGCGTAGGAACTCAAGATTGTGCATACGCATATTATACCTACGATTCGTTTCACCTGTGGCACCTATTTACGTCGTTACGATTTTCGCGTACCAGTTCATCGTTCTGGACAATACGAGCACTTACGTCAAAGTTGTCCTCATAGGCAGAATCGAGGCTTCCATCGGCGTCGGCAGCGAAATTAATTGCTGCCCCTGCTGACGGTGGCACCCGTTGGTCTCCGGACCCATCGGGTCGGACCACCACACCAACGCCCCCTGGAGAACTTCCTCCTCGAACCAACACCATCGCCGCCTCCACCTCCATCGCGGCGCGGGGCTTTGGGCCTCCACGCCGGGGCGCTAAGAGATCCTGGCGATTTCTTTTTAACTTACGCTTCCAGCATGTCTGGAACAATGACAGAAAAAAACGGAATTAGATTCGTATCTAAAAGTATGTTATTAAGCACTATTGGTTAGTGAATGAATAGGAATCGCAGGCGCGTTAATGTTATATACGCAGACCACTATCTGCTGAATTTTACGTACTCGGTCTGATCGTTTTGAAAAATCTCATTGTGCTTTATTTTATCACTGGCAATAATATCATACGTTTCCCGCTTTTGTGTAGTAAGATCTCAACAGGACCCTGACTGGCAAATTATTGAAATATCTAAACAAAGAGCTATTAACGATTAGGACTGGGGCAGATGGAAGCGTATGTTTATGGAAAAAGCGGAGAACAACATCATATGTTGTAACATAACCATCAAGACTAATTTGATTGAACAAATAAGGATGTAACATAAGTGGGTAGTATTTTACATTGGCTATAGCTAGCTAACAAGACTCCACTCCAGAGTATTACTGAGGAGCTATTCTAACGCAGCGAATCGTTCACCTTAACGGAGATTGAGTAAAGCTACCAAGGAAACAACTGCGTTATCAATTCAGCAAATACCGAAAACATAACATAAAAAGAACCTGTCGTAATATGCTCCCATTAAAATAGGTTTTTTGTTTTAGGCAAACCTGTGCAACCCAATTGTCATATAGAAATAAACTCTAAATTTTTTAGTATCTACAAGCCGTTTTGCCTCTCAAGACGGAACTCTATATTTAGTATAAGGAATTTATTCACTTTATATAGCAACGTGCTGCTGATGACCAGTGGTAGCGCTCCGTTTAGAGCGGCCATCGATTGCTAACTCTGTAAAGTGACTTCATTTCACAGTTATATTGGTTACATAACGCGGTTTTAGCAGAAATTGGCTATGCTCGAGATGGAGCGCTGGTCGGCAAAACGAACAGATACATTACTAAGGAACAAATAAAACTAGTATCTATATATGAAGTTGTTTTAATTCCTAAAACAGGGCGACATAATGGGCACATCCGTAAGAAATGGAATCGAATGAGCAAAGGTGAAATGATCTTGTCATGCCGGCAACCACTGATATATATCTGGCTGATCGGCTACAAGTTGTCATCAGCAATCAGCTATTAGACAACGGGTAATGGTGGCGTTGTCGGCGTTGCAGTGCGAAAATCCCGCCTGTCCAGTTTCACACGTGCAATGTTATAAAACCATAATAATTATCAAGGCATAACCAGCCCGTCCTTAGTTGACGGCGGTTACGGCGACAACGAAAATGACCACGCGAACGGCTTAGTCGTAGACTGATTCTCCTATAAATAAACAACAATTTATTCGTGCGAAGATCAAATTGTCGCCCATTTTTTACGATACAGTTATCTATCCCGTTGTACCATCGTACGATCGTGTACATATGCGCTCATTGAAGAAGTTAACGTAGAATGCTTTTTACAATTAGAGCTGGCTGCAGCAACAGGAGTAAATAATGAAATTTGTAAGTAACGCAATCATCAGCCGCCATTGTCAACAAAAAAGACCACAACCCAAAGGCATTATCGCTATTTTTATTTATAGTTTCCCTGTGCGGGATTCGCTTACCACGGAATAGAGCAGCAATGCGACAGTTTTGCCGTTATATTAGGGGAAAACGTGCTATTCTATTCAATAACGTCTTGTGAGAACGTCTTGTTCGACTAGTTGACCCTGCTCGAACTACTAGACCGAAAAAATGAACATTTCTTGAAAGGCTTTCGGAGTACTGTTGAAGCATGTCTTTAGAGCAGCCTTTACCATACTACCGAATGTTTTTGTAAAGCAATAATTTACAGCGATACGGGGCTATACCTGCGGAAAGGGATGATGTGTATGAAATCGGTTTATGTACTGTCGGCTCACACATCATCATTGGTAGATTAATGTGACTATCAAGTATTACTCCTCAACTTTTGCCATTACTTCAGCTGCCAGCACTTATAACTCTCCGACACGTTGAGTTAGCAGTGAGAGTCAAAAGGGGCGCGTAGAGGGGCTCTCGGCGCAACTGTTTTTACTGCTGCGGCTATTATAGTCGCCAGAAGCTGACGCAGTCCGTTTCAATGTTCGGTATCCTCCTCAATAGCATTTACGTCAACATTATACAGTTAGCGTCGTCTGCTATGTGCTGTCGCTGCCAACTATTTACCAATTGCTACTTCTGCTTTAACTAATGCTAGTACCAATTTGGAGCCACGTATCTATTACCCCTTTGTTGAAACATGGGCTTCACACGTGACAGCAGCACATGGTAAAGCTGCATCGGCGCAAGCCGCAACGACGAGGTATCTGCGGCTCAGGTGGAAACTATGGCATCGACATTTTGCGCTCGTTCTCACCCTCTTCCCCCTCTCTCTCTTTCTTTCTCTATTTAAAAGAGTTCGTTCGGATCGTTTGTGCGTAATTATATATTATATTGACCTGTACAATGCTATCCGAGTGAGTAGCAGTACAACAGCACAAGCACGTGTTCACACAACATCCAATTGTCTCCTGCGGGATGCTTCAAGTGATTTGCCTTGTACCTATATGTGATTTATACGGTAACTTGGGTAGGCTTGTACGTATAAAATTTCTACCACTACGTGGTACGACTAGAAGTGTCCGCGCTGTCGCTTCGAACTGTAATACTTTGTACGGCTGGTTTGAACCCACACCGATGGGTGCTTGTCCGACCGCCAGCGAATCAATTTATTTCACGTACGGCTTGACTAGTTGTTGAGCAGTACTATGCTGAACGCCAGGATAATGAAACCAGGACCGCGGTACAGGACACGATAGAAATAAAAGCTGATCGATTGGGAAAACATGAAGCAGATAACTTTGTGAACGGATTCAATTCACCATAAATATTCACACAGAACCAATTGGAACATACACACGTCTAAGTTGAAAGTTGACGAAGCTGCAACAAGTGTAGTTCTCACTGTTGCGCTTTTTCTTTCTGAACAACACTCCTTTAGATACTTTTTTTACTTTTTACATTTTCTACTATTTTAGTGGTGGCCTTTTTCACGCCGTTTCTGCTCGCCGCCGTCAGTTTCATTTCGAGTCTTGCGTTAACTACTGCCAATTACCCTGCGTCGTCTTCTCCTTCTTTGACTTTGGTCAACAACGATGATGACAACAAATACAACAACAACAGCAGCAGCACCAATAGCGATACAAACGAGTCGTTGAATGTTGATGTGTCTGCTTTCTCCGTTCATTTCGTTGTCGGTTTCTTCGTTTACTTTTTTTTCGTATTCTTCTTCTGTGCGAACCTTTCTCTCCTTTAACTTTCTTGGGTTCTTGGTATAGACAGAACGGGCAGACCCATTTGTTGTAGTCAAGGGACAGGATTGCTATCACCGTTGCTGTACCGTTGCTATCGCAATTATCAGCAGCACAGAGTAACAGTTATAGCGATGGCGGTCTCTGCGTTTGCTAACTATAATAATAAGCTATTTAACTATTAACTAGCCAATCAACAAAGTAATGCCGTTGCTTTTTTACATGGCCGGTTACCATGTCAGCGTCGCATGGCAACGCGGTATATTGACGTTGTTGTTGATGCCCTCGTTGTTGTGCCGTTGTCGTCGTCGTGCTTACTGTTGTGGTAAGTTGACACAGATGGTCCTGCAGAGTTGACCCGTAGAAGTTTTTGCGCGCTTTCGCTATTGCTTTTACCTTTCTTTAGCTCTTATTGGTCACTTAATCTGTGGAAGTTTCTACAAGTAGTAGTAGTTGTAGTATTTGTACCTTCGTAGAAACTTTTCCGCCAGCAGTATCGACAACAAATTTCGCAAACGGCTGCTGTTAGCTAGATATACAGGCCTGTGTCTGTTAGGTGCAGTTGCTGCTGCTGTTTGGCCGAACGCCTGGATGGCCAGATAGCGCATTAGGAAACATTGGCGACTGGTCGAGGCTAGTCGTCGATGCGCGAGGGCCATTTGGCACAAAACGGCGACCACAGCGCAGCGGCCGTTGTTGCCGCCGTCACATCAAGCCAGCTACGACTAGAATACATACAGCGAGAAATCGTGGGCAAAGGGACATGGAGGGAGAGCGTGCTGGAGGGAAGGAGAGAAGGCGCGATGACGCCGCCAGTCATAGTACGACTATAGCATGGAGCGTTATCGTATCGCAACCGCCGCGATTGCTGCTGCCGGTGTCGCTGCCGTTGCCGGCTTCGTCGTCCATTTCGCGCGCGTCTCGTCCGTTCGATGTCTGTCCCTCTGTTAATCTGTCTCTCTGTCATTTGTGCGCGGGTGTATTGTGTAAGGGGCACCACATAGATCCATACGCATTACCCTTCTCGGTCTATGGCGACGGCGATATATGGCTCCATCGCGGAATTCATAGCCATGCCAAGCTCTTTCTCCCTTTTCCCCTTGGCTTTCTGTCGCTTTATACAGATCTGCTGTCTTCGAATAATAGGAACGAGTCGCAGATTGTCGTTGCTGCCGCCGCCGCTGTTGTTTGCCTAGCAACGTCAACAACAGAAACATGACACATGAGTACGTGAAAAAATCCACGGAAGTCAAACAATTGGCCTACTAACAGGCCTATGGGGTGCTGATTATTGTGCATGCTGGCAACAGTGACATCAGCATCATCTAATCACCGCTGGGAAGCAACAAGTAAAGCAGCGAGATGAAATTCTGGAAAGCTTATTTGCTTGCACCTTTTGGCCGAAACTAACACCTGCGACCTAGCCAGTAATCAGCTTGCGACACAACTACAGTTGGTTAGGACAACGTAGGTACATACGTTGGCTAGGACAATAACTAACAACTTTGTTTTGAGCTGCTGGTTAATTACGCATCGCGTCCAATGAGTGGATTTCTTTCTCCAAACTGCATTCCCATTAAAGTCGGCCTACAGATAACCATCTATTTTTACTGAGTTGCCTCTATATTTCCTGTAAACATATATATGGTAATTAGATTACTTGGGTAACTTGAAAGAGCTTAACTTCATAAATCCTTAAAGGCATAATAAATATGTATATAGGATAT